GAGATGGCTCAGTGGTTAAGTGCACTGGCTGGTCTTCCAAAGGACCCAGGTTTGGTTCCCAGCATCCATATGGAGGCTAACAACTGTCTATAAGTCCAGTGCCAGGAAATTTGATGTTCTCTTTGGCCTCTGCCAGCTTTGTACAACATGGATGCACTTAACATACATGCAGGCCTCATACACATAAAAATAAATTAAAAAGTGCCAGACATGGTGCTGTACAAGATAGGCCTACTTGCGGGGTAAAGGCAAGAGAATCAGGAAGGACGTCAAGGCCAGACTTGCTTATATATGGCGAATTTGAGGCCAGCATAGGCTACATAGGCCTTAAAATTTTAAGGGATGGGGCTGTTGAAGAAGATAAAATCCAACAAGGCCAAGGCTGTAACTGTATGAGCTGAAGCCATCAGGGCTCTTGTAAAACCCAGAGGTTAAGCCCAAAGTGTGTCAATCATAAGGTCTGCTGACTTGCTTTCCTTACTACCCCAGATTTGGGCTGTATACTTAGGTCTACATTGCCAAGAATTGTAGGCTCTGCCAGCCAAAAGCCAAGGCCCAAAGCCCAGGCCTCCAGCTCAGGCTCCCAAAGTTGCTTAGGTCTCCGTGAAGACCCTGTAGAGGTCTTTGTTTGAGGACCATTGAACTGCTGTGATCTCCCACCCCATGTTTCTTTTGTCCTTTACTGTTTCCACAGGTAAACCTGTTGGGGGTTGGAACCCTAAGCTGAGTTGACTGGTGTGGAAAGTGAACCTAAAACTGTACTTGAATGTTTTGCTTCCTGTTTTTACTTATTTCCCAAAACCTTATGTTGAAAGTAGTTTAAGCTGCCAACATAATAGTATGGTAGGATTCACTTTGGATCGTAATGTTTTGGCTGAGAAATCTTTGGTTGCTTTTACAGTACATCCCTTTATATGAGTTACTTTCTCTTGCTCGTTAAAAGATTTTCTTTGACAGCTTGACAATAATGTGTCTTGGCCTTTTAGGGGGCTTATCCTAGTTGAGGTACTTTGAGCTTCTTTTGGTTTTGTTTTGCTTGCAGAGACAGGGTCTTGTCATGTAGTCCATGCTGCCCTGAAACTCACTTAAAACTCCCCCAGCCTGGAAGTTACAAGTTCTGGGATTACAGGCAGCTTATTATCCACCATGTTCTACCATTTTGACCTTCTTTAATTTGGTTGTCCATTTCCTTTTTTCATATTTTGGAGGTTTTCAGGTGGTATTTGTAGAAATACATAGCTCTCTTTTCTTTCTTACAATGAATTTATTATTTCTTTTCATTTTTTTTCTTTTTGGTGGTGGTTATTGCATTATTTCCCAGGCTGGCCTTGAACTTGTGGTCTTCCTTCCCCAGTGTCCTAAGTATTGGGATTACAGATGTATACCACTGCTCCTACCTTATTGTTTTATTGGTGGTATTTTAAAAAAAATATTCATTCATTCATTCATTCATTCATTCATTTATTCATTTATTCTTGAGACAGGGTCTCCCTGTAGCCACATCTTGCCTGGATTTACTATGGATACCAGGCTGGCCCTGAACTCACAGGGATCCGCTTGCCTCTCCCTCTGCCTCTCCGAGTGCTGGGATTAAAGGCGTGCACCACCATGCCTAGCTATTTATTTTTATTTAATGTGTATGGGTGTATTGCTTGCACATAGGTAGGTCGGATCCCCCCAAACTGGAGTTAGCTGCCATGTGGATGCTGGGAATCGAACCCTGGTCCTCTGCAAGAGCAATCAGTGCTCTTAACCACTCAACTATCTCCCTACCCCCCTATTGGTAGGTTCTTTACATTTCATCTTTCCTCATCTCTTTTTTATTCATCGGACTCATTCATCAAAATAACTTTGAGGAATGAGTTCTCTCCTTCCACCATATGGGTCCCAGTGATGGAACTCAGGGCGTCAGGCCTTGGTAGCAAAGCCCTCTGACAGTCTTTTAAAATTTTTTATTTTATTTTACATTATTTTTTAGATAGAATCTTATGTAGCCCAGGCAGGCCTCAGACTTGCTGTGTAGTTAATGTCTGGCCAAGTCTGCTTAAGTCAGTTGTGGAAAAACCCTCTTGGGGATTTTTAAATTCAGTTATTCCATTATTTCCAGAGTTTGGTGC